CTGTACGCGTGACAATGGCAGCTATATGGCGCCTGGTGTACGTTGCTTTGCCATCCTTTGCAGAAACGGCTTTGTGAGACGAAAAATGACTTTCGCGCCCATGCGATTCTAATTATTCCGTGTCACTTCCGACTAAGTTGTCAGGGCTTCGATGTTTTGCCCACCATTTGCCTGGAAAGCGCAATTCATTCCTATCTTTGAACCACATCCAGAGCTTTGGCGGGACTTTCTTTCTGGCAAGTGACCGAGACGTATCGACGCTTATTCGCCGACAGTTCAGTAAGTGAATGTGTGTTTTCGATTAAACTACACTACTTTCACTACTGTGCAAAGTATTCTCTGTGATACGAGATACACTTATGTGTTGGGAGTGTTTTTCTGCATCGATGATGACACGTTCTGAATAGCTTTTGGCAGCCGAGGTCTCGATTCTGCCTGCACGTGTGAGAGCTTCAGTAAAATATTTCTTATGTTGTAAGATTTAATGATAGGGGCAAGTGCTGTACTCTCAGAAACTGCAGAGTACTTGATTGATAAACCCAATACCCAACATGTGCAAATGGGTACATGCTGCACCTGGGACTTCCCTGAGGTTGATCAACATACTTAATTTGGCTAGAATGTTATTTCCTGTTGTATTTTGATTAGGTATCGCACGAGGAAAAGAAATTGGAAGCTGCTGAGATCGCCATTTATCTGGAAAATCCTCTGATGCCCTGTGACTCTAAGAGCGTCAATGCAATTCAGCGAATCCTGTCCTCCAATTCCCGGTATGTATAGTCGGACACCCATGTATGTGTGATTTCGCCCGCACAGGTAAATTGACCCGATGGATATAAGTATAACGGACGAACACCAGTTTCACACGGCGCTTTTTCCCTGTATTTGAACTACAGCTTGGAGATGTTCTCTCACAGTCGCCAACGACTCGATTGAGTTTATCGCCATACTATCCAACCTACAACTATGCACATTAATCATCCGGTGCATACATGTCCACGCAACTGCATACTAGACCTTCGAGAAGTGTCTGTCTGTGTGATTGGTCACGCTTACAATGGCACAACTTATATAGCTCTCCGTATGAATTAAAGCGTATAACTGAACTCCTACAGGGTTGACGAGGATTTGTTCACGAAAGTTCAGCAGCAAGTGTACGACTACCTCAACAAACGTTGGTTTGCCGAATTTTGTCGAAGCGAGGCCTTCAGGGAAGACATGCCTGTTCGAACTACTCTTGATATGCCGACCTCGGAAGTATGTGAAAGCCTAGACAGGATCGTATTGACCAAGTTATTAAGTTCTAGATCATATGCAGTCTTCCTATGTATAATTTCATGTAGAACGATTAATATTGGTTTGTGATTTCTATAAGCTGTAGCGGAGTATGGAGAAGATAGTCACCTGTTGCATAGTACGCCAGTACGCTCGCATTCTAATTCGTGAGACCATTTCCAGGATTGATGCGTCCTGTGCACTAATCATTTCTTTTGTATGTATATATTATCTATATGCACTAATCATTTCTTTTGTATGTATATGTTATCTATATGCATTAATCATTTCTTTTGTATGTATGTATTATCTATATGAACTAATGATTTCTTTTGTATGTATGTATTATCTATATGCACTTCCGTATCATCCCTGTTTGCGCAGGTGACGCATCCACAGCAGGCCCATGAAATCGGTAAACGCGCCAATGCCGAGCCAGTGAACTCGGACCTCTGCCTACCAACATATTCAGCCGATGAGTCATCTGCCAATTGCCCGGGGAAGCCTGTGGATGAGGTGCGTTTAGTTTGTATATATATCGCATGCCTGGATTGGTCCGTCTCTCTATGTACGTCATGGTATTACATGCTTGTAGTGCTAGTTTGCTAGCGGATGAATACGAGTACGTTACCAATTTAACCATGCGGGTAATATATGTGTGGATATGTGGGTAAATTGGCGAGACGAATACCCCTGTCAATGCACATTGAAAGTTTTTTTTATCGCCCCCGAACTTACTTGTAGATCACAATTCACGCAAGTTCCCATGCATATTTGCATGTTATTCTATCACACACGTTCAGTTCATCTAATATAGCCGTCTGTTTGAATCTGTTGTATTTCAAGCCCCTTTCCAGGGTATTACAATTGGGTAATTTAATTTATTTCCTATATGCTTTTAGGTACCGACTTCTTCGAGTGATGTGAACAAGTCCGATTTGCCCATTTCCGCCGAGTTTCGTGCGAGTGTTAAGGTATGTAAAGCCAGTCATCGATGTGTCGCATGACTCAAGTTTCGATTAGTTGGTATCTCACGATGTATGACTAGTGCTATACAAGGTATCGTTCTTGGTTGAAGACTCGTTGAGTATCGGATGCACACGCCTTACTTTGGGCGTACACGCGACCGATCGCTGGGTACAGAAATACATACTCTGCTCAAAAAACTAAATACTTCTGTGTAGAAAGTGCTAAATGAGATATACTTAAGAACCCGTGTCAAAGCCAAAAGCTAAGCATTTTCGTATCGGGTATAATTGTAAATTGGGCACATTCGCATCGCACACAACCCACAGGAGCGCATGGAGCGTGAAACAGCACTGCAACAGCCAGGCCGCGTCATCTGGAATGCGCAGATCAAGGAGATCAACGTCAGGAGTAATAAAACGCAGCGGAGTGGAGAAGTGGTGGCCTACTATGTCGTAGTGGTAACTCGCACCGGTGTGTATTCTAGTTTCGTATCATTGTGGAACAGCTGTGTATATCTGCATCGTAGCATAGTGGTTTACAAGTGTAATGTAGCTGGGTAACATTTTTGTAGTATAGCTGTGTGCTTCTAGTTGGCATATTTATGATGGTATCACATTGCTTTGATATATCTTCTGTACGTCTCCGAGTATTCTCTTTTGCGCGCAACTTGCTGAGCTATCACTATTCTCTTGTGTGAAGGAACGTCTATTGTTAATTCGTGCCAAATTGTTCGAGCGGGATATATCATGCCAGAACTTATACGTGCGTTTTCGAATTGCGTTTGGGTGGTATATTTCGAATCAAAGCTCAAATCGAATTACAATGTCTAATGTCATGTAGGTGAATGCACTCATGATTGATTATGCCTTTGTCAGATACATTCGGAGATATCTCTTGGCTGATTGATAGACGATACAGCGACTTCCACGACATTGATATGCTGGTATGTGCTCGTGGTTGGCACGGGTGGTGCCTAGTTGCAATTGCCTTCCGTGTGTACGGTTTTGCATGGAAGTCTGACTTGTTATACACAGGGACATGCGTGTTTTGTGTGTGTGTGTGTGTGTGTATTCGCTTTTCTGCATTCACAATGCCTTCTTAGTTAATTGTTCCTTAGCAATCTTTACTCCGTGCACCTGTTCGGATGTATTTGTCCGTGAATGTGGAATCTTCCAACACTCTCTCAGATGTCAGCCCCAAAAAAATGGTACACAGCAGTTTGCCATAGCGCCCTTGTATGTGACTACTCTCAGCTGGTTCGTAAATTTTTTAGTTTTGATGTACCCTCCTATATCACAGTTGCACAAAACCGAGTCGAATCTGCCTACATTCCCACCGAAGAAAACGCTGGGAAACCTCAGGCCCAAGTTCTTACAACAACGCAAGAGGTTAGTCACCTTGAATTTACACAAGTCACTTACTTCTGGGCGCTATTTGGATACCCTTTAATGGAGGATTCCAGATTTTTTGCAAGTTATCGAGTGTTTCTGTCACTCTCGAGGTATTAGAGTCCAATAAAACATACTTGTGGTGCTACTAGTTGTGAGCACATGCTTGTTCACCGATCATTCTTGTGGTATTACAAGAAACCCAGTTTTATGTCATACACCCACTTCTGTCTGCCTACAATGAAATACGAACATATATATGGACACCCAAGTTTTGCGCTATGAGTTGTTGAGACTGTGTATTTTTGTCTTAAAGTTTGTACATCTGTACATATCTATTTGAATTTCTGTCTACGTGGGTGTACGCGTGTGTATGGATAACTCTGTATCAATTACACCTCCTCACACGATTGATATCGCATGCATGCGTCGGTGTACTAATCCGAAAGATTTCACCGCACAGGGCTCTGAACAGCTACATGCAAGAACTACTTGCCAAGCACTACATCACGCAGAACGAAAAAACTGAACGGATTCTCTCGGTGTTTCTGAGCGAAGGCTTGTACACGCACGAGTACAGCAATGTGGCAAAGAAGCTTGATACGGTGCGGGATTTTTTTAGCTTGGGCCATTCGAGTGGTATGCGAATGCATGCATGCGTTGGTCTACTCATATACAGATATTTACCTAGCTCCTAGTGTTTGTCTGTGTGATCTTGTGAATTGTGAATTGTTTTCAGGTGTATGCGGACATCATGTGCAGCTCTGTTTCCGGCTCATGCAATCGAGATTCAGTGGACTGATTGGGTCTGTGTATCTGCGTACAATAGACGTGTATCCGCTTGTCGATCGTTATCAGTACTATTGATGCAGCAGGGCTTAATACCTATAAGTTGCAATTAGTCATCGAGTACCGTCATGCACTTAAGTTACAAGCCTCCCACTTGCTCCCTACTAAATTGCTGGATGGCTACCTGCTATTTTTACACTAAGAAGCGTTTTATCATCCATTTCTGTGCTTCAAATTAATACATTAAGCACTTGAACGGCCATTGCTATCTGACCACATACCGCACACTTGGTATATAGCATGGCGATATAGTTCCATCTAGCGAGTCCTACGGGATGTAAAAAGTTTACCGGCGTGTTTTTTAGATGTGAGGAACTTCTGTTGGTTTGTATACTTGCCCACAGGCATGCTCTCCAAAGATTAAATTACAGTTATTGTCAGTCCTTTGTCTGTAAATATTCTAGCGATTGCCGCTGTGTATAACAGATGACAGGGGTCTCACACCGCGCCAGATAACTCAATGAACCAACCGTGAGACGGTGAAAGCATCGCCAGTATACAAGGTTACAGTAAAACACACTCATATACGCGATACCCGTGACAGTATTTCACATTGTACTAATACTACCATACACACAACTACATTCGAATGGTGCAGTCAAATGTAATTAATTCTAAAAACAAGGAGCATTTGCCAGATATCTGTCATGCAGTTTGCCACTTATTTTTTATCCAGTCACTTCTCACACTAAGCTCACTCCTCGTCCCAAATTTATCACCAGCCAATATAAATGAGGACACGTTCATCCCTAACCCTTCTCGGGGCACGCGGAATTCCTATCTGGAATCGGAATCGTACGAAGACGATCAAGTGCGGGATGAAGTGTTTACCATTCTGCTGGCCTGTGTGGAAGAGATATTCGATTTCAAGGCTACGAGTCACGGATTGTAAGTTGAGTGTAGGCTACGGGTTTAGGCTGTTTTGTGTATTTAATTTATCCGTTTCTGAGATTCAGTTGACATTGAGACCCAGTCGATTGGCAACCGAGTCTCTCGATCACATTCAATGCACTGCGTTGCGCAATAGTCATACTAAATGTATGTATGCTCTAATTACTGTACCAACAGATGCCTCTACGATGCATGTCGCGCACATCCGTGAACAGCCAATATCGCACTATTTCCACATATTTAGGCTAGGCTTACTCAAGAGCACGACACATTTATATCCAACTGACTTCCAGGGTACGCAAAAGGTTCCACCTTGTAGTTCGATTCATGGTGGAGAGCTACTTTTCGACACTGATTAATACGCAGATGTCTGAAACCGTCAATTGGATCTTCGGTGAGAGCCAGATCACCACATATCTTCGGTATGTGTGTACAGATTGGAACACGCCCGCTTGAATCCTGCGAAGTATGCCCAATATGGGTATGTAAGTGTAAGTTAAGATGCCAAAATTTAATACAGAAAGTCTTACAAAGGAAACGAAGAAGCAGATATGAATTTCTGTACCGCGTATGCAGTCCCTGAGGTGGAGGTGTGATTGTGAGCGAATCATTCCGAGGCTGAATGCTCATGTGGCTACTTGTTGCGGGGCTTTGGGGAGGCCAATACGATCGCATTGTAAAAATATTGACTACATGCTCATATTAATTTCATATCGGAATACTAGTAAATGAACTAATTTGCTGTGTACAGTATAGATGTCCAAACTATCCGCAGGTCTTTACCTATAGCCCATGTGCTACAGCTGCTCTGTGTGCACACGAATTTATACACCAATTGACATTCTCCTTCACTAATTATTGCTATAGTTCTTTCCGCGAGTCGTTTTGGCCTAGTAACAAATTAGCGCCGCCTGGACCTACGAGGGATGCCGAGCAGAGGGTCAACTCTAAGTATGATGCACGGGCAAGGATCATGATGAAGTAAGTTCTTATATTATCAAGGTGTACCCTTATCATGTGTCGGATTGCGTGAGTTTGTACGATGACATGAGAGTGCACATCTAGGACATATGTATCTGTCCTGGTGAACGTTGGATGCTGATTTGTTGGGATCAGTGAGCGAGTGTCGATCTGGCAATACCTGCACGTGTAAACCTGGGAAGTGATCTGATATTTATCATATTCTTAAAAACACAGCAAGTTCTCTCCGCAGATCGACTTGTTGTATTACATCAACTACCAAGTATTCTACATAGTATGTCATCAATTGCTAAAACATTGGGCAGCAAGATTCGTTTCTGTGAGATGTGAGCGACATTTCTATACATCTTTAAGAGAAAATCGTACTTGTACTTTCATAGTTTTCGTGCCGGATTCTTCCGTCAGTGTTGTTAGTTGCCTATACACTATGCACATCGTACTGAGAATTTCGGACGGTGTGACCAATTGACTGCAGTTTCGATATATCCATGTGTATCTCTTTTTGTTCAAGAACAAAAAAAATTACTTTGGCTCTGTGAATGGAACTAAGTAAGTCCCTGCATCATGTCAACCCACCATGGCAACTTGATTGCGAACAGATTTGTGTCGACCTCCAGGAATTCACTCTGTTGTGATTCCAAGTTGGAATTGGAATACATGGTTTCAAGAGTGCCTGTTTATTCGGGACACTGACTTTCAATCATATTCAATGGTCATAGCATTCCAGCGGACATGAAACGCATAGTTGGTGGTCACAACTGTCGCGCTGGTGCCCTACGACTGTTTGATATGATGCAGCACGAAGTGATGAATAAGCGCTTATTCTACGCTATGTTAGAGGTATGTCGATCAAATATCTAGGTTCGGGTGTATCGGTCTAACTGGACTTTGTGTGCGTGTGTGTTTCAGTTTACAGATAGTATGATACGTTGACGGATTTTCCCATTCCCGTGTTGTAAGGTTGGTGCGAATTTCCCATTTCCGCGTTGTAAGGTCTGTGCGAATACTTTTTTTGTGACGAGCACGAATATTGCGAGGTAAAGCAAAATTGAAATGCAGTGTTTCTTCGAACACGTGTTAAGGGAGGTCTAAGTAAGTGTATTTATATGTGCGCGTTGCTCTCGAGACGCCATAGTTTCTATGGTTTCTCGTGAAATCACTTCCGGTGGTAGCAACACAAATTCCGAATACTTGGCCGACCTACTAGTCGGGATTCACACGCGGTATTGGACTGATTAAGAAGGGCTCTGTCAGCTGCTATTGTACGAAGTAATTTTGTAGCTATTACTATTGCGATTCTCCCCTGTTACGTCTTGAGTCTGGATGCTACCAGCTGCGAATCAAGTTCCGGCGTATTTCACCTCTCTCAACACTGTCGTGTGTGCTGACTGTTCTTTTTCATTTGGTGCCATGTATATTGTCGTCATTCGGCACTAATGAACCTTACTCGGCTATATCCAACAGGCTTTACTAGACCACCTCTTCCCGGACATGAACGTCCGCGACCTGTTGAAGGGTATTCTGATGCGGTGTAACGAAGAGAAATAAAGTTATGAATTACCTTAAAACCATTCTAGGCTCTTTCAATATAAATTATCACATGTCTATTGAGAAGTCGAGGTTAAAAAATCGAAGTTGTTGGGAACTGCAACTATGCCGAACCAAAAAGTCGCAAATATAATCCAATCTTGGCCCCCAAATTGCCTTTTGAGTCCATATACATGCATGCGCTTGTAGGTCTCTTGCATGACAGGTTTTAGAATACTATGCTTGCATATCAAGTTCAAAGCATGCAGTTTTATCGTCCCCGGGTCGACCTCTCTTGCATCCCATTCCATATCACCTGGTATATTCACACAGCTGATAGAACTTCAGACCCGACATAAACTTGGCGAGGACCAAAAACATCAGCCCTAAACAAAATCCTGATACCACACTATGAAGGGTTGGTTTTATTTTATTGTTACGAAATGGTGAACGCTTAGCGCGAGCGGGGAAGGCTGGATTGAGATATACACCACTTCGGTGAATTTCGATTGCGATTTGGGCACGAGTAAAGTCTTACTTAAAGTATACAACATAGCAGTAGCAGAAAATAATACGAAAGAGAAATTATAACTTTATAATATTTACACTCCAGACTCGGATCATTCGGGTTCATCGTACACAAATTTACAAATGAACCATCGATGGTCACTATATCAAGCAAGAACTTAGCTGTAGTAACATATCAACGATTACCACCTTGGTACAATATCGACAGCTATGTGCCGAACAAAGAGAACTGCTACTAAAAAATTTAAATTTCAGATTCAGCATTTGCGTAGAAGGGCATATCATTTAAAATGCTCGTAGATCTTGTTTGCTTCCCTGTGAGGGCGATCTCATACAAATTATCACCCTGGTGGGTTACATCATGCTTATGAGCTAATCACAGCTCCTCATGGTCATCTACAAATATCCTATTAAGTTTTAAGCGAATATCTACGGCAACGAGTTGGGGTGGGCGACAACTTGCCATATGCTCGAGTCTTAAACGGCCTTAAGGTTGATGGGCTTGGGAATCAAAAATTGTACATTCGTGTCTCTTGTGGTCGTAATACCCATATAGGAGTATAAACCCTAGTTAACTAGATTTATCAGATCATAGGATCTGATAAACTTAGTTTGTATTTATCATATCATAAGATCTGATAAACTTAGTTTGTGGTTATCAGATCATAGAATCTGATAAACCTAGTTTGTGTTCGAGACTGAACACATGACTCATTAGAGTCCTAGATAGTTATATTCAACAATCTAATAAAGACGCAACGTCTCCCTGACTACTCCGGGAGAACGTTCAGATATAGTTATTTGAGCGTAACTTACTGCACTCTCAGATGCGCTCTTAACTTCCTAAAGCGAATGTTGAATAGTATTGTTGTAAGATTGGGACGAATGTTTTTGAAGAGCTGAAACCCGAATATTTGAGCTAGATAAATCGCCGATGTTTAGTGGACATCGGTGGTAGTCTGTAACTGTTGCAGACACAACTTGAGTCCGTTGGTTATATCAGTTTGCCTGTTAAGAGCGTAGGCATATTGTGGCATACCTTATTCAATGTGGCACACCCTATCCAATAAGACCCCAGACAGAACTGTGTTGGTTGCAGATCACCAGGTCATATACACTCGGATGCGCAGTAAAAACTAACCTCTTGGCTGAGAATATTTTGAATTCCCGCCTCCAGAAATATTTATCAACACGAGAATGTTTATCACCGTGAATTAACCAAGAGTGATAGGTATGCGATCAGTGCTCGCGAAATATATGAATACATAATTCAAGATATACCGTTTTTTTCTAAATACACGATGTGGTCGGAACACCCTAAACAGGGTTTATTTGATTAATATCGGTTTATTAGCTACTATATTTAGGATCTGTAAGATTGATTAATATATACTAGACGAGATTTAGATGGTAAACATCAAGATGAATCGAGTGAATGGCGCTAATGGAGAGCGACAGGACCGAGCAAATAATTCCGATAGTGGATTCATTAGCAGCGACACTAGTGATTTAATGCCTGCGCTTCTAGAGGACAGCGGCGGCGATGCATACAGTAACGGAATGACTACTAATTCCAGAAGTCAACCCATTTACATAGGACTTCATAACGTACGTGTTAGAACATGACGGTGAGCATGAACAGGATGCGACAAGCGAAAATGCTATTGTTTATGAAGGACGAAAAGGGGGAACAGAATGGCTTGCACAGCAGCAACACTACGGCAACAACACGGGAAGAGGTTCAGCAACCAGTAACGACAACGGACAGGACCCAAAATGGAAGAGTCAGAAGTCAGAAGACAGATAAGTTTGATGTTTATTGTAGTAAGGTGTTGTGTACAAGTACTTTAGGGAGTGTAATATTGGGTATAACAAATCCGTCGGGTTAGTAATAGTCATGAAATCGATAGGGGGTAAATATAGCCTTTGGTCATAGAATTGTAATAGAAGATCAGAGAGTATCTACGTACCTATTGCTCAACAATCAAAGGTTTTATTCCGTATAATAATTATAGTGGGGCAGGATAGAACAGAATTGTTCCATTACAACTCATTTCGGAATTTGGGGTTTAGCGACAATAGGCTTAGAATGGATTAGATGATTTGCACATGTACCTCAAGGGCAATCGCTGTCCTCAATCGATGGCACAATTAGGGAGAAACGAGTGAAGTAAGCAATAAGCAATTACATAAGCCATCACGCCGAGAAGCATACCAAGACAATACAATAGTGTTATAGTTCTGGGACAATAAGTCTAGGAGTGAAAATGGCACACATCACATGACATTCGCGAAATCGAAATAATAGTAAATATCCTAGACACGAGTCGGTTACGAGAATGAGAGGGGGTATCAACTTGGGTATCTCAGACATAATAGTAAGGCTTGTGTATGACAACAAAAGGGTACTTAGTACTGACGACTTTACGTTAGAGCATACACATCGGTGTGAGAAATGAATGAGTGCACATACCATGTAAAACACAAAAGTGTGTGTGAGTGTTTGTACGAGTATCAGATACAAGATGAATGTGGATTTTTTCGGTGTTATACAAAAGTCGTCATACTGATTATAAGAGCATCAAATATTGACATATCGAACGCGTGGTCGTCATATTCTGCAACTTTCCAACAAGAACTAATAACTATCCGAGAGCAAGGGAGCAAATGAGGGAAGCAACAGAGGCAGTAAGGTTGCGACCCGCGATAGCAACCCACGTCTCCCGCCGGCAAAGCGCCTGCACCACCGTCGGCGAAACAATAGACCAGGTGTTGAGCACGGACAAGGTTCTTCACAACAGTTGACAGAACTGTCGGCCAAGCAACAGTCGTTGCTTGAGCAATACGAACAACGCTTGCAGCGCACACACCCAGGACAACCACATCCTGTTCACCAGAGCAGTCGCCAACCATCGGAAGCTGAGAACCAAGAGCCGAGCAGGAAATCCTAAGGATGATATCCCAGCATTTCGGATCAAGAGTCTCGGTCGTCAACGCCAGGGATTGGGATACCAGTCCCGGGAGTCAGACGATCAGTCTTCTGGCAGTGATACACCAGCTCTGAAGTAGTTCGTACACGAACAGCAACAGGCCCAACAGACCCTACGAAACCTATACGACCGCTTAGGCTCGACGATATGGACGAGACAGCGGAATGACGCGTTCGAACAAGGTGCCCTGCGGGATAACATCTCCCCCTCAGTAAGCAAAGAAAAGGGCCCTGTACCACCGACACCCACTCCAGAGAGTGTTTCAGCTAATCGTCAGGCCTTACATGAAGAATGTTGAAATTGTCGGAGGGGCTATGTCTCGAAGTGGAAGGAAACAACTTACCGAGAGCAGAAGCATTAAGTGGCGTGTTGGAAACACTACGGGCCACACACGAGTCTAGACCGGTTGACAGGCGAGAACCTCGTGAGCCACGTAGTTGGCCCGAGTGGCCTTCGAAAGGGAGCGCTCCTTGAAGCACATAAGAATGCACAAATATCCGGCCTCGATGAGGCATGGAGCTTGCGGTGGTTCTATAAAGTGCTGAATCACTTTGAGGCGGAAAAGTCGACACTCGACGACATTAAGTCTAATCATCGGCAGTTGGTACCATGGACTTCTGAGTTACAAATAACTCAGATATGCTCGCATGAGACCTAAGCAACCGTGAACCCAACCTTCCGCAAGCTCACCAAGGGACACGCCAAGCTGGCCAACGTACCAATAATGGAACAAATGACCTACTTAAGGGACCGTCGAGCCCGCGAACGTTGTTAGACGGACGCTGAGTTCAGCAGCACCTTTTGAACCATTACATAGTACAGCTACTAGACAAGACTTTGGGTTCGCGCACGTACGAGCGCACGCTATAGCTACACCCGAAATAGCAACTAATGAAAACACATGAATTGCTTCAACTGTAGAGCCCGGACATACAAGAGGCGCAGATACGCACCTCGGTTCACTTAGCTAATCGCAGACCACAAGGTGGGGAAGGGTCACGAGTTGACTCTACTAATAGCCGCTCTCATAATCAGACAGGGTAGCGCCAAACACAAACCTGGCAGCAACGAGCTCAAGCGTCGACAACTACAATATGCGTTGGTTGTCATACACAGGCCCCGCCAAGCCCGCGCCACATCGTGCGATGCCACAATTATCGAGTATCGACCCAATTGGGGGGGGGGGGGGGGCGACAATCGCACACGATCGCAACGGCCCAACATACACCCACCGCACACATACTAGGGCCAGGTGAGAGCAACGGCCCAGCCAGACAGTCCTCTGCAGTGACAGTACCGACGTCTACACAGATCAGCACAATCACACAGGAGGATGTATGGACACCACCGACGTCAGCAACAGAGACGCACATCAGTGCAATCCTTGCAGACGACTACGATGCCGATACATCTTCGGCCAATCCTGAACAGTCCGTTTGAACATCAGTAGCAGAGGCGCCCTGGGAGTCGCGTGGATGTAGCTTTGATCTTCGCTAATACGCTTAGTGAAGTATTGACGATTAAAGACCCAATACTCACGACGGTCTATATACAACTACAACTGAACGGGCGCACGTTCAGAGCACTAGTATATGCGGGAGCAAACAGAAGCTGCATCGCGACGACATCCGCAGAACTATGAGACCGTCCCATATGCGGATGTCGTCGCGATGCAGCTTCTGTTTACTCTCGTATCTACAACTGCAACTGAATGGGCGCACGTTCAGAGCACCGGTAGATACGGGAGCAAACAGAAGCTGCATCGCAACGATATCCGCAGAACTATTAGGCCGTTCCAAAACCTAGGAACGACGGAAATTCTACCTATCCGATATGGTACAAAAATCATAGATGGTTCACTGGAACTGATAAACTTACCAAATGGCATAGAAATTATCTTGGGGCAAGACATGATGAAAGGTCTTGGACTGTATGTAGGTGGTATTCAAACACCCCTTGCCCCGATAGATCATACAGAGTTAGATGCCCTTCTCGAACCGCTACCACGTCGGCAAGCTCCTATTACAACGGAATCAGCTGGAGCACGACAACGGTCAACAGCAGAACTCGAGGCGAACGTGGCCATTGTTGACAACGCACGTTGACGCCTCGATGAGAGCGAGGTAACGATTCCGGTTACACAAGACCAAGCGATGAGCATGCGTATATCTACACGCAGCTTTGTGTCGGACAGATGGTTCCGGTATGTCGACGAGCAGGTCCAAGTAAACACAAAGCGCAGTAAACACAAAGCGCACGACACAAACGACGGTCAACCTTCCGTTGTTGGCAGTACCGAAGTTTGATAGTGAGGGTCTGCTTGGACATGAAAGCAGTCAATGCACTCGTTCCGGGGGATCAATTCCTAATCCCAAAGGTCAACGAAATTATCTCACGACTACAAAGCAAGAAGTATTGAACGACCCTGGACATATCGGCCGCATATCATAGATTTCTGGTTCATCCGGATTCAAGATATTTGTTTAGCTTCACACACGAGAGGTACCAATACTCGTTCACATCGGCACCTTTCGGTCTACACGTGTTAATGCAGCAATTTCAGCGCACGTTGAGCACCATACTCAATGGATTACCGGTGCACCAATATATAGATAGCAAAATAATTGCCAGCGACGACTACGACGAACACATGGCGACGGTGAAGGAAGCTCGATGCCTTACGTACCACAGCCTCAAAGTCAATCCGGCCAAGTGCCACTTTGCGATAGCAGAAGTGATGATAATGGGTAAGAAGGTGTCAGCACAGGGTATCGACATCTTCTTTGAGAAGCAGGCGAAGCTACTTGACTGGCTGACGCCGCAACGGTACAAGGACATCGCGTCGGCGTTAGGCTTGGAGAATTACCTCCATGAACACTTGCCCAACTTTGTGAATGTGGTGACCCCACTACGAGAGTTCTGTAAACTCAGGCCCGACGAGTTGATTGGTGATCGACGGAAACTGAGACATACATAGGTATGGCAGGCGATGAAGGAAGTAATTGTTAATGCAGTAACGTTACACTTCCCAGTGGAGGGAGTGCCGTTTAACCTAGAGACAGATGCAAGTGACTACGAGATGCGGCACGTTGAGTTGTTTCAGAAGCGCTACTTGATGTTCTTCAGTAAGACATTAAACCACGCCCAACAGAACTATGCTACATCTATGTAGGAGTTACTGGCGCTAGTGTATGGTCTGACTCACTTTCACGACCACCTCGATGGGCAGCGGTTCGCGGTCTTCACAGACCACAAGGCATTGAAGTACATGCACACACAGATCAAGCTCAATCCGATGATACATCGGTGGCACCATATAATTGCATCATTCAACTTAACCATTGCCCACATTCCAGGAGAAACTAATGTGCTGCCAGATATACTCAGCAGGATATAGGAAAGTACGGCGGAAGCGATGTAACGGAGATACTGTACGCAGACTATTGACAGGTATTCCCCAATTTCTTTGAGCAAGCCCAGAAGATCTTCGGGGCTTACAACGTCGACGTATTTGCGGCCCCACGTAATGCCCAACTACCTCGGTTTTGGACAAAGAATGATCGGAACGGAGCGTTTGACCGTGATTAGTCCTTAGTAAATGGATGGATGAACCCACAAGTTAATACATAAGATGCTTTGTAAGGTAAGAGCGGATGGAGCGATCGCTACAGTGTGCCTTGGTTTGACCTATTTAATCAGTTACTCCTGGTGTAACCGGTGTTAGTGCCTCGTGGCCCACACACATCTTTGAAGTACGCTAAATATGCGTGCGGGACGACACCTTGGGTCACACGGTGATATCGCGTTTAGGCCCGCCCAGTGGATTTGAGTTGGACCCTCGTTTCTCACAGTGACTCGGATATGCAGAGCCTCGTCACATACCATACTACCGATGCTTAGACACGGCGCAAGATTTGTCTGTAGCCAGGGCTAACACGGATGAACAACCAGCATTCGCACAGGCAACCCCAGATGAACAACTATGACGGACACGACTGACGCAGGCCCAGCACGAACAAGACCGCCATGAGGCGGCAGACACAGTTCAACAACTACAGAACAATGTACTTGTGTAGCCTGGAGCATTGGAGCTAGCAACGGAAGGTCTGGAGCATTGGAGCTAGCAACGGAAGGTCTGGAGTATTGGAGCTAGCAACGGAAATTAAACGACATTGGATAATATGTATAGGTCAAGATACGCTACGCAAAGGTTTCCACCCGATGATCAGTATTGATATACGATACCCATGGGATCCAGTCTATAGCTGGGTTACATCCCGATGCCGATTCTACATCCTATACGTACTAGATGTAGCCACGGGCTTTTCGATCCTTCGCGCCACCCCGGACAGAACCAAAGCGACAACCGTGCAAGCCTTAATAGAGATTTTTGGTGCACACGGATTTCCACACATGATACAGACGGACATGGGGTCGGAATTCACATGTAACATGATAGTGGAACTTTCAGTGAAGGATGTATGGATGCTACACAAGGTGTCACCATTTAGAGTATGGAGAGTAGCTGGAAGGTACGAGATAAAAGGATACAATAGACCTCTTCTCAAGTACGGTTATGTCAGCTAGGAAAAGTCCCTAGGCTGAGAGAACCGAACTGAGTCTTTATTTGTGTTTTCACTAGACTCAGGATTAACTTGAGTGTTTCTCTCTCACGCGGAGTCCCGGTATAGCTTACCGGTTCTACCGCTAATATTGCTGATGACTCTAATATCAGAAATATTCCAACTCTAATTCCACAATTCATTCTTTGATTATTCTGGGTTTTGGGATTTAGATTGGCTTTTTGATAATCTGGTCCCTAGATGCTACAGCCCCCCAACTTTATGCTTCTTAGCCTGCGTAGGAGTAGAAAGTGACATCGTACAGTACTAGATTATCTAGAGGTTGGTGTTTCTATACAGGGAAAATCTTGTCCCTTAGGGGGCATAAGATGAAAAACTTGCCACCATTATCTATTCCTACATATTACCGATTAATTAAATTTATACTATAACAGGAGTTCTCTACCACGCTCATCGGAGTCAGTCTTGACCGGTGCTCTCGGTTGATCTCAACTTGGTATAGGAAAACGCTTCTCAACGGTGGCTCTACAGCCGAGTTTGTGATCCTTGTCCCTCTGGTGTGTTGGGGGAGCATGCTTCATGGCGAGAAAGTGGGAGTGTCCCGTGGTATCAGTGAGACTTGCTTAGGTCCCCCGCCTCGTGCGCTTTCTGTGGCGCGCTGATCTTTCATCAGTGCTCGTCGTCGCTGGCTTCTTTGGCCTTAGCGGCCTTCTTTTACGCCTACGGCGTTGACGGTATGTTGTAATAACATCAGCATATGCGATGTCTGATTCATGCGTGCAGGTACGCTCACCATATGTCCATTGCAGTAGGTACTCCTGGGATCCATCTCCTCGGATGGACGGTATGTCGTCGACTATCGAGGAGAACTGAGTCTTCTCGTTTGGTTGTACGTGGTTTTTGGAAGTAAATGCTTCCGGAGCACTGGCCCTTTTTACAAGGCTAAAGCTCATCACTGTTCGAGTCAGAATATTCAGATACTTTAGTTCCATCAAGATTACAGATAAAATACCCGTTGCCCTCCCTGCATACTATTTTGTATAGTCCGCCATTTGGTGCTGTTACCTTGTTCATTTCACCTTGATAGCGTACCATGACAAGGTCCCCTTCCTGGAAGTTTACATACTTCTTTTGGTATTTTCGATCGTATGCTGCGCGCATCTTCTCTTGATACTGTGCAACATTATTCTCTAGTTGTGTCTTGATGGCTTCTTCTAGATTTTGCAGTCGCTCTTTCCAAGATACTGTTGTACTGGGTACGGTCACTGGCTCGTTGTAGTCCGTGAGTTGATCCTGTCTGCGATCAAAGTACACATTAAACCGTGGTGACTTGTTTCTTCTGGATGTACGCAGTTTGTGGCCCATCTGTACGAATGGAAGTCGTGAACACTGGTTACCTGGATACTGCTAAACGAATTTCCGTAGCAGTGACATGAGGTCTCTGTGTGATCGTTCGTTCGCGCCTAAGACTTTTAGGTTGGTACGGCCGAGAGACTAGGTGTTGCATTGGCGCATGTTCAACAACTTTTGAAAGTATGTTCTTAACATATTCATTGCCTTGGTTGTGGGAATCCATGTTCACACATGATTGGTACCAGCGTGCGTGCTATAGTAGCCGCTGATTTGTCCATCATTGGTCGTAAAATGACGTACGATGAGTGTACATCAAGCCATACTAACACGTATGTGTGTTCTCTGTTGGAATCCAATAGTGGACCTATGGTGTCCACTTGGACTCTGTCGCCTGTAAATGCGGCTGTGATCGACTATAAGGAGTGAAATCTCTTTTTGTGTATCTTAATTTTGAGACATGGTATGCATCCGTCAATGAACTTATGTACATGTTGCTGGATATCAGGCCAATCATGTCCATCTGCTTGCAACTTGTGTACCGTTTCCTCAGGAGTGTAATGTCCCAAGTTGTGGTATTGCTCGATGATGTTAACACGTGTCTCATACTCTGTTGCCTGTGGTGCATTTCCAGAGTGAACTGGTTCTGATACTGCAACGTGTATAGTAGGTTGTTCCCGCGTTGAGTCAAAGTATGGAGACTTTACTCCTATCTTTGCGACCAATGTGACACCCCATGGGGTCTTGCCACAAGCCTTCTTGCCTTCTGTGAAGAAAGTAATGTTTGTGTTTTCCGCTAGCATATGGCCTTCTTCTAGTAAAGACAAGAACTTTGGAAACCATGTTGCATTGGGGTAGTAGGGTACACATATCGTGATGCTGGTTGCCTCTTCAATGACTTTGTCAAGGACATTAGATATGAGTCCCCATGGTAGGTTCGCCCATGCATTCACTTCATGCGCCCACTTTTGTTGTAGCGCATTCTGTTCTTTGGTGTAGTATTCATATGTGTGTGCATTGTGTGCCGATGCAAACAGATCTACTGTGAACTTCTCAAACCTTCGTTCAGCTTCTTGATAGAATCTAGGGTGTAACATTCAGTCTATGGCCGATATGGTTATGGGCATATTGTTTCCAAGGTGGTGTACTCTTGGCTATTATGTATTGTCTCA